AGTAGGTAAAAAAAATAAATCTATTAAAAAGTCATACAAAGGATTTTCGGACCAAAAGGCACCACTTTACGATGGGACGGAGCTTTCTCAACAGTTGTGCTTCGAAAGGAAGTGGTGTATTCCATTCCACGCTTGCTGAATGTCTTCTTAATTTGTGGACCGAAATTTGGCTTTTCATTTTTATTTTTTGTTTCGAATTTGGTTTGCATTCAAAATTACATGGGTGCTTGCCCATGTCGCTTACACCAATTCACTCAAGATTGTCTGAGGTAAAAATCAGTGCTTGTATTCCCGTTTACGAAGTTACCAGTGAACCAGCCCTTGTGGAACGAACAGCTTGGTATCTTCGGGCGGGTATGGGAACAAAAAGGGATAATTCAATGTTTTTGCACATCTTATATAGTTTGTAGTTTTGCGCCCGATTCTTTTTTTTTTCCTTAGCTGAGGAGTCGAAAAGTAGAGCTGCTGAATAGGAAATAACTGGCCGACCCCACTCAACTTTTCTCAAGTTACATGCTTGCCAACGAGCAATTCCTACTTCAGAGCTGTAATTAACTTTATTGAATTCGCGACTTGAAGCTTCTTGGAAAACTTACGGTTTTTTTTTTCTCGTTCCTCATTCTCATACCAGGGAAGCCCCTTATTGATCTTCCCACGCCGCCCGCATACATTCAATGGAACAAGTTTAAGAACATGTATCCTTGAATGAAAGCGAACAGTGTTTTCGGAATGACCAAGAGAAAGTTCACATGCGTTGGTGTACGTTGGTGGGTTGAATACCTAAGAAGTTTTTCTGTTACACTGCTGACAATGAAATCTTTTTCATTTAATCGAGTGACTCATGAATACATTGTGGGAAAAACAAATATTGGGTGAAGGAAATGTCGAGGGAATTCAGTTCGCTTGGGAGGATAGTATGCAACTTTCAGAGACGGCCTGACAGCGCTTGTCCACACAGAGGCTCGCTGACAAAAGTTCCTTTTCTGGAGATGTAAGAAATGCCTGCCTAATTCCCTAAGACTCTTGTCCCTGGTCAGGAAAATACTTGCTGCTCAGGATACGATGTTTGAGTAATGTGGGATGAAGTTCAGATTTGTTCAATATCGAAATATGATCCTTCATCGGTAATTTTGTTTGTTGTATGTTGGTCTTCATTCGGTTCTATGGGCTGCGTTGTTGAATGTTTCCTTCAAAACTTCGACCCAAGCAGGGATGTGTGCAAGTGTCTATAAAATCAACAGTTCCGGATAGTTTCGGTGCGTTGCCCTTCCCAGATTTGCGACAATGTACGGGGCCCTTCGTATGTTTTTCCTTTTCGGTTTGGCGACTCGCTCTTTGAATAAAGATCAGCATGGCTGGTTCATCGCAGCTGAAGTCCATCTGCCGATCGGTCAATGTCAGCTGCTTCATTCCAAGAATCTGTTTTCTTCTCCTGAGTTGTCACCCAAAATGGCTGCCGGCGGAAATAGGCTATCAGCCTGGACATCGCGATAAGCTGACGTCATCGGATGCAACGCAATTCCGACAATTATAGCGCCCATTGTAGCTTCTTTGAACCCTCACGATTTGGCCCTTCATGATAGAAATGAGTTGGTTGTGTAAATTTAAAGCTGAAACGTTTCGCTAATTATTTACTTTGCGAACTTAACGTCCTCTGTTCTACAATTTACGGGCTCTTGTGCTGCCGTCCACATATCAGTCCTTATCTGTTGTTATCACTTTCTGTCATCCACTTTCTGCTATTTCATCACTGCCCACATTACATTCCGAAGCGTCCCTACATCACATTCCGAAGCGCCAAGGTCCACCATTGAACCAAAAGTGTGACGGATGTGACGGTTTTTGCCTTTTAGGGCCCCCTACCAACGCTTACTAATCCCCTATCAACCCTTATCAACCCTGGGACCCCTTATCGAAGGGATGAAGTTAAAATCACTGAGCTTTAATCATCCCGTGGGAGGGATGCGCCTCGCATTCGTCTTCCAATCTGAAACTTAGAGGCGTACTGAACGCTTATGTGACTTCTACATACAATGATTTGAGGAAGTCAGCCGATGTACAAGCCATTGTTTTTAGTCTCCCAGACAAGTCGGGTACCAATAAACCGACCTCGAAGGGATAGTAAGCTTAGTTGACTTAGGCAGTAATCTATTCAGAATTCGAACCCGTGACCATGCGTGCGTGATAGCGCGCCATTTGACATACACCACCTCCACCCATCAGCCCTTATTAGTCGTTATGAACCATATCACCCACAATCTTCGACCCCATCGCAACTAACATAACACTCCTAATCTTTACAGCTGTTAATACGGAAAGGCGAAAGGTGAAACCGCCCAAGAAGCGCTTTCCTTCCAAGGTTCCTTATCAGTCTCTATCAGATTTTATCATTTTCCTCACTCGCCATCAACTTTTCCACCCTGCCGCCTCTCATCTAAATTTTGGTGTTCAAGGTACAGGGAGAGGTCCAGCGATTTTCCAGTCAAACACAAATAGCGTATATAGCGGGATTTTTATATGTTAGATTGAAATTACAAAAGAGCGTGAGTGCAGTTAACTGCATAGGTTGGAAAACTGCAAATGCAAATGCAAAATGCGCCTTAATGCAATTGTTCAACTTTAAGGAATAATTTTTCATTGAATTATCGGATATTACTATTACAACCGAAATTTCGCCCCNNAGTGACCACGAATCGGATAGAAGCTTTTGATAAGGTGTATGGGACCGTTTCGGTATCTTATATTACTACTTGGTATTTCTTTGCAAGTATGGTAAGTGTTCATAATGACGCCAGAGTGGGATGCACCTTCTCTTTAACTGAATCCTGGCTGATGATAGTGTCTCTTTGAAACGTTTTGAGCAACACTCACAGACAGAAAATGCAGTACTGAAGGCCAACATGAGCTGCGTCAAGATTGGTGAAAATCAAGGTGCAGTTGGACAGCGGTGAACTGATCTGCGGTACCAGTTCGTACTATTTGCTGTAAGGAAGCAAGGAGATGAACGAGGTAGTGGATCTCTCTTGTCCTCAATATCCACTTACAAAGCCACCTAGCCACCCGCCACTCCTCTTGATCACCTCTGCACAATTAGCAGTGATATCGATATCGCTCATAGGTTAACCTGCAGAGAGGAAAAGCAATTTCAAAATCTGAGAAGGATTTAAATTTAAAGGTTGTCTTGCGATGTATAAGCCCATTACAAATGACCACCTTGATCACAGACCCTCTCCTTGTTAGTTATTGACAATCTCACGCAGGTGTATTTACATACATGGGGACTCAAGTGTTCTTCTTTCGATTTTTGTGCAATATTCCTACATTACTTGCCCTGTATAGAATTAATGGGCTTGCTCTGTAGATCATTCATGTTCTCGTTTGATCGAGCTTCATTCAAAAGAAAGAAACGTAACTTGCCGATAAGTTTCGTTGGGAATGATTTATGTCATAGTGTCTCGCATAGCTTTTTTCGTTGGCAATTATTACAAACAGCTGCTACGAAGAAACATTTCATAGCGCCTACCTAAAAGGCATTCATCAATGGTACTTCCCTACTACGGCCTGCTCGAGTTCAAAATAAAGAGCTGAAGAAGAACGTCGATTTCATAGATTCTAAAATAAGACAGGCCGCAAAATCGCGACCACATGTAGTTTCAGAATCTTGAAAGCCAGTCCTATTATTACTGCTGAGTGTAATCAATCACAGAAGAATGGTGGTATTACAAAAGTTATTACTACTGTTAACTGAACCGGAACTCGTTTCGATGATCGAACTCCTAATTTTTCTTTGTTTTCGAATTCTAGATAGTTTGTCTAACGACTCTCTTTTCACTTTAAGAAGTGACTAGAGATTGTTAATACGAAATTCAGAGGCCATATAGCGATGGCGATAAAACAGTGACTGTTTTGGGGAGTTGCCATAAATTTTAAGTCCGTTTCTTCTTTGCCGATGCCAAATTGAGGAATGATGGGACTAGATATGAGAGAAATGAGAAATTTCCTGTGAATTATTCAAATGAGTCAGTAAATGCTTCTGATTCTGTTAATGAATTAGTGTGGACACTAGACGCGTTGCTAAGCATGTTCGTGATCCACCTCAATCAGACTTTCCATCTCGGCGAAGCCGATGCGAGAGGTATTTAAAGAGGAAGCTGGATTGGTTGGCGTAGGTCTTCGTTCGAAGTTCCATGGGGCTCAGAACTCTTTTTCGAAAGTTCTCCTTTGTCGGCTCACTTGATTCAGAAGTTCTCGGATTCGAAATACAAGTTGAATTAGCTGCACCTCACAAATGGGGTATGACTACCAACGCTCTAATTATTGGAACAACCTATAGTGGGAACAGATTCAACTTTTGGCCTGGCAAGCTCTATCTATTCTTAATCTATGTTTCTATATTATTCTTACACTTTGAAACACTTGGAGTTGGTGTCTGTAGTGTACAGAAAGCGCGTTTGTTTACTTGTTTACCTGTACTCGGTGAATAGTGATAGTTGTGGACGAGATTAGAAAAGTAATTTGAAAAGTATTATATAGCTTTTTTGGTGGCATCGCGGGAATAGATGGATGGCCGTGTACAATACGACTACGCGTCCTTGGCGATCGTCTGCCAGCGGCTGATAAGAGACGCCCGACGGTGAGGTCGTGCTAACTACGCTCATTTCGACAGGGGGACTTGATAGGGGGTGTGACAGTGGGTTTTTCGGCTAACGATTAGCAGTGACAGCATTCTGAAGACGTTACGGACATCGTCGTGCCGTGTCCATACGTCGATTTGCGTCGGTGGTTTTTGATTAGGACGTCGGCGAATGGTGATGGTTTTGCCTCGGCGTTCTCGAGTCGGTGAACTCTAGTGATTGATCGCGTCCGACCGCCCCCTCTCTACCCCTTCCTACATTCTATCAGCTGTTTGTTTTCGTTCTTCGCTGTTGGCATTGTCACCGTGTGTTTTATATTCTCGCCACCCTGTGGCAATATCCTGTGGAGTGCATAGGCGACTATCTATGGACATCTCCCATTTCTACGATGACGAGCCCTACAAGGCTAATGCACTCACTCTTCACCTTTCGCAGGTGAGCCCCTTCAATTACACCACAAAGCCTTGGCGGCAGCAGTGGCTGAGCTGGGAGGTTGGGTGTGTGAGCAGTGGGAGGTGAAGAGTTTAGTTTTTTGTTGCGTGTGGCAGCCTTAATCGATAAGTGTTGACCAATCTTGCCGAGGCAGTCGGTCCGCACCTCTCTCATTTCATTGAATATTCGACACCATTAACAGGAGTCCTCTGGGAGGTTGGTCGGCTGAGGAGATACCGTTTTGAAAAATTATACTAACGTTGTCTCGAAGGTCCCCATTAGGTTTGCGAGTTTTTTTAAAGAGTAAACTGCTACTTTACTCTGGAGGTTCACTAACTGCGGCATTTCAGATTCAAAAGTTACCCTGGAACTGTTTGTTTTTTGGATCACGAGTTCTTTTCCTAGCATTGTGTTATGGTTAATTTTGGCATTGCCTCAATTAGTTTTTGAAAATGAACTGTATGTGTGTAGTTCCTCAAAAATTACCAAGTGCAGGATCTTAGAGTATTACGGAATGCACGGAAACTCGACGCCGTCAGCTTCGGCTGCCTTAGGAATAGAGCTGATAACCGGCTAGGTTGACTAAACCTTGCGTAACGGCCTTGTTTTTTAGGTTTGTTTTCTGTTTACTTATCAAACAGAATGGTAACAACCTGGTTTTCACTTCGTGAAGGTCGCTTAGGAATCAGAGAACGCTTTTTAATGAATCTGCTCATCACTATAGATTTGAATCTTTCTCTCGAAATTCATGAAGGCTTCAAGCTGTGACTGATTATTCTCTCCTAACTGGCCCGTTTTGGAGCACTGGTTGAAAAATGTCACAATTTGTGATTTTTATCTTAGCGTACTGACATTACAATTTAATTATTGGAAGGAGTATGTGTTGACTTGCCTGAGGGCCTTATTCTAACATGAACTTTTTCGTTGGCTGGCCAATTCAAGTGCTTTTCAGATGGAGCGACGTGAGCCTGGGATGATGATGGCCCAATCCCAACGTAGCTCAGGTGGTGTGCCGTTTGGAAACGCCACTGGCCTTCACGGTATTAATGCACCTCCTACTTCAGCTGCCAATAACGCCTCGTCTTCGAGGAAAATGCAGCATCCATTCCAGGTAAGCCTCTTTTTTCTGCAATCTTAGTCATGCTTGAGGCTTGTTACGTTCATTCACCGCCCATCTCATTGTTCTCAACCGACTTTTTTTCCGCTATTTTCCTATTTCTTATTGAAGCTGCCTTTTTGTTGTTCAAAGTTCTGACTCGATGACCGGGGGGAAATGTGTGTATGGGTGATGATGCTCTAATTCGAGGTCACCGTCAGTTTTTCGGCGCTCAGTTTTCGCGGCGACGAATCTTACACACTATCTCGCAAGTCTCAGTAGTCAGGTGATGAGACGCCGTCATTGGTGGAGTGAAACTTGTTTACTTGGCCGACAGCCAACTGAACAGCGAATCACGGCACACAGATTGATTTATTGCATCCTTTCTATCATTCGCCACGCTCTTCGGATCGGTTAATTTGACGCTGCCGGCGAGAAAGGGCGCACTTTTTCTGTACTCTAATGAAATGACTTAACAATTTCTCGAACCCTGTGGATGCAGAAGTCCATGGTATTGCTCCAAACAAGTCAAGTTATTCTGTGGTTTGACGAAAAATGGCCTAATTGCTTAATGGTCTTCCTGAAGCTTGGAAATTAGCTGAGTACCTTTCCGTCTAGCCGCTCGTGATATCGCATCGCCCACCTGTTGACCTGGCTACCGCTAGGTGTTGTTTTTAAGTTTGGCCGATACGAAGTGGCGGCGACGTCATTGTGTGGTGTCACGTGGTGAAGGACACAGCTTGGAAGTTTTCTATATTTTCGATTCTCAGGGATGGTTTTTTTCGCGGCAATGACTGGAATGGTTCAATGTACGCTAGACACCATGTGTGAAGTTCGGTCATCAATATCAATCAATTGTTGGAACCCTGGCGTTTTAGACTTAAACATGGTATCATTTTGTTAGGGTATCTTGGAACTTAAGTTTAAAGTATGAAGTTTCCGGCTAAGTCCTTCAGCTCCCCAAGCAATATTCTTTTATTATCTCTCGCCGATGGCGGCAGAAACAGGATATTGGTCAATCCGCCAGCCAATGCGTTGGAAAGGCTACTAATTTAAACTCGACCATTTTTTTATCCTTATCCATGCTATGGGAAATCATTACAACCCTGTCTCGTAGGCAAAAAGGTCGTTTTCCTTAGGTCATGAACGCAGAGACTTTCCCAAAATCAGGAAAAAGACAAAAAATCAAAGGCACCGTTCACAAGGGAAGTGGTTTCTGAGATTCTCTCCTAGGAACCAGTGACCCTCAAAGATAGCACTAGAGACGCTGTCGGGTAGAAAAACGGCTTAGATGGGCGTAATAAAGGCTTGAAAATAGCTCAGCTGGCTTACAGTCCCAAAGGTGGACGAGTTCCTATGGCATTGAAGAGGCTGTAGAGACTATGGTTCATCTAAGTGAATGGCGAAACGAACCACCTTTCAAAGCCTTAACTTATGCAGTTGATGATTCCCTCGAAATGGCAGTTGTATTATCCGTACCGGAACCTACACGTTGTAGCAGGAAGTTTACTTGAGCCAGCCGTACGCAAGGGCACACACATCCGGACAGCTCGTCCGAATACCTATTCCATGCAATTTTTCTCGTCACTACTACTTCTTTAAGCATTATATTTTGCTGAAAACGCCGAGTTTCGCGTTTTCTGTGCTACTTTTGTGCAAACCGAATGCCCCATAATTGTTGTTAACTATGCCTTTAAGATGAAATCCAAGACATTAAGACGGGGTCATTCGTAATTGAGCCTGTCAGCTAGCTATTTCTGTGTTGCTTCTTATTTGTACAGCACGACATAATCCAATTAAGCAAAAGAGCAACGGGGCTTTCAAATAAACGGAAGTGTATTGAATTGTTGTGATAGGGTCAACAAGATAAATGTGACTCAAGTTGGTATACCGTAATGCTCATTCTTAATTCACCATAGGCTGGAGCTAGTTTTAGCAGTACGTTTCTTGGACGCGAGAGGTCATGGAGAGAAAAAAAAACAAGTTTGGTGGGAATATTTGATTGAATAGCACTGGGGTCGCCCTTACACCAGAGAACATTCGGCAAACGAAGTAAGGGAGAAGCAGATCTGATAGGAGGTTCTCTATTTCATCGACAGCGTTCTTCATTTGTTAAAGGAGGGCTCAACAGTAAATGCAACTCTTTCTCTAATAAGGACGTTGAAAATCGCTTGGCCACAGTGGTTGGACGGAAGTCGTGACTCTTTTATGTGACATCGTATAGGTAGTCGTTTGTTAGGAGGCGAAATTTCTGGGCGCTCATTATGGGTGGCATTCCAAGATAAGAACCCATTATAGCCTGGCTTCCCTATCTGGTAATTAAAGTATACAGTGGTTCTGACTGAACCAAAGGTGGATAGAAGAACAGTCACGG